ACTCATTTGCCGTTTTGGAGGATTTTTCCGGGAATGTGAACAAACGAAGCATCGTCGTCTCATTTTCTTATCAGTCTCTTCTGAACAAAGTTTTGGAAAATGTCTTTCAGTTAATCTTTCAGAATCAATATCAGAATATCAGAATTTCAGAATCAATATCTGAAATATGTTGCATCATTTCTGCTATTTATGCTCTGTTCTGTTAAACATTTTCGACGCTTCGACGTTGAAACGGTAAAAACAGAAAGAATTCACGTCTAACAAGATCTAATTATTTTCTAAAAACTGAGCTGTAAACCGAAATACTCAACGCTTTAGCGCATATAAAACTTCTACTTACAATAAACAACTACCACGTGCGAATAAAGTGCGATTTAAAGAGACGTCATAAATCACGCCATTCGGAAACATTTAGTTCCCCGTTTGTTTATATAATCAAAAACACGTGTATGTGAGTCATGCTTCTCTCATTTCCAGTAGAAGGTCTAATGTACATGTATCTGAAACCATATGGACATACAGTGCCATCTTGTGGCAGAAATTATAGTTTGAAAAACGTTCCAAGGTACTGGCACAAATACGTGACAGCCGGTAGAAACCGCAACAATGCTCTGGCACGCCTGCGTGTCGGCCGGTTGATAAGTGTGTTCGTTGCTGGCACGTATACGTGACAGTCGGCGCGAATGGGCTAATCACTATACCGTCTGAGTGGCAGACATTCAATGCAAATAAGGTAAGAATTCTCGCTTCATGACTACGCTTATCTGCCAGATCTCGTTCCGTCGTTCTTTTGTGTATTTTGCTTTCTATAAACAACCTCAAAAAGTGTTTGATAGTGAAAGACGCATATCAGAAACTTCTTCCAGATAATTAAACGTAATAAATCCCTTCTCATTTGAAAGAAAAGTTACGAAATATTCGAATAGTACTGATAGTATCTCAAAAATATAAATTTCAAGATTTGACTCGAAGAACCTGTAAAAATGCTAGCAAAATATTAATTTTGATTATTAACTTCGATTTTATTTAGAAATTTACTATCTGCTGCCTACAAAACCGGAACTACACTTCAGTAAATGGCAATAAAACGTAACTGACATTGCTAACATTTCATTTCTTTGAAGTTTTAATCAAGCTACTAGAGCACATCAAACACAACGGTCAGCCCTCTGCCCTCACTTACTTAAGGTTATTTTTGCTCAAGTGCCTATTGACTCATTTTTCCGACTCGCAAGAATCCGTTGAAAACAAACCTACCCACGCACTTTCTCATGTGCTGCATTTCGAACAACTGGCGTGAAAAGCAAACCACTTCAGCTTTTAAAAGGTTAAAACCGTTCAAGCTTGTCTGTGCCTGCAACCGCCGGACGTAAATCAGAGTTTAATATACGAGCTTTTCCAATTCCGGAATGCACGGTAACATGAGTTATACCGCTTCCTACATGAATTCATTTTCCAACTTTTGGACGATGCCCGTAAATCGCAGAATATGACTGAATGAGATAGATTCATTTGGGCACAAGTTTAATTTGTGAAGACACGAGCCAGATACGAAGCATTCCCGAGAGTCCTAATCTAAAACTAAACAGCAAACAGATAACAGTGATAGGGAAAATGATAAATTTCTTTTCTCAGCACTTGGTGATAGCTCTACATTTTCTGAGGCTTTATTTAACTTACAGAATAATATACCATATTTAAATTTTAATTAAATACCGTACTCAGGCCCTTGATAAGCTTCGTAGTCAAATAGAGTTAAGGGGCCAACTCGATTAGAATCTTGATAACTTCGGCTACATTTCTTTAGTTAATCTTAGTTTTAGTTTATTTTTTATTCTCTTAAGTTCAAGTCCAAGTGTCGGCTTTGAGTGTACACTCCAAGACGGAGTTTTGTTAAATCTTATTGGAATAATAAAGGGTTAGTTACCCTTCCTTCTTGTTGTTTCTTGTTACACGAACTTAAGCGATTATTCGCTAACTAGTTCTTAAGATTCGTCACTTTCTACAGTAACTGAGAAATACACTAGTGAGAATCTTACAAATTCATATGAACTTAGTTCATATCAATCAGTAATTCCAACGAATAATTTTACTATACGTGCTACTTCATACTTATACGCATCATATTACCTTTATTATCATGTCTAAGAATAATAAGAAACAAACACGTTAAGGATAACAGTTAGGAAAGCTCAATTAGTAGAGTTCTCTAGGTTGGCATATTGAAAGATTACACTAGAATCTTGGTCGATGCTAAGATTTTTTTAAACATTATCCGATAAAAGCAAAACCCTTGAATTTACAAAGTTACTGCTGCAAGAACGTTGCATATATTTTCGGATGTGTTAAAATCAAGCCCAGTTCCAGCATTTTCGCTAGGCAATCAGCACAATAGGCGTTCGATATAAAATTCTTTAATATTTTATTTCTTTTTCGATATAAAATTTCACTTTATTAATTCAAAGCTAAATATACTTTTTACTGGTCGCTTATGAGAACAACTTAAATAGCGCCCTAAGGGGCTGCCTTTGTCACCTGTACTTATAACCGGCCCTTGTTAAAATGATAAAATGACAAAGACAGGAGTTTAGTATTTTTAAAAAGTTAAGAATAACAGCTTTAATGCAGCTCAATGAATAGAATGTTCAAGGTCCTTAAAATCAGTACGTCACAAAATCGGTACGTTGAAAATTCGAGTCCTGATTGGAAAACTGATCATTTGCTTGTTATGCTGTTTATCAGGTTAGAAATTATTATTGGTAAATCTAATATATTATATTATTGGCAAATCTAATACTTATGCAGAAATAATACAGTCAATTAGATAACCGAATTAATACCAAAACAAAAGTAATTAAATAAAATTTTTTGGGGAAAATTTCAGCGGGTTGAAAATCTTTAAATCCTTATCTGTTTATTTTCATCACTGAAACACAAGTAACATTCTTGTCCTTAAGCAGATAGTATGTTACTTTCTTTAGAAAATGAAGGCCCCCCCCTTTTTTTTTTCCTTAAGAAACTTAAAATTTAATACTCCCTACCTATTACACATTCATGCATTTAATATTAAAAACTAGGAATAAGAGTATGCTGTTCTGCAGCATCCATGATAAGGTTCCCAGACCGGAAAGCCATTCATTTCCCAAGAGATTGTTTGGAAAACAGGAAGGTGAAGTTTCTAAGACCGAAGGAAGATATTCTGAGTAGGTGTTATTTTAACAAAAATGTGCTTCCTCAGATGCAAATCAGAAGAATCTCAGGAGAAAGGAAGAGGAAGGTGATGGCTCAGGTTGATCGGTTCACAGCGGATATAATATGTTTGTTTTGAACCACGAATGTTGACTTGAGCTGGAAATCTTTTTAATGAACTAATGGTATGCAAGAATTTTAAGCTTGCGAAGCGAGCAAGTGAATTAGGGGAAGGGACTCAATTTCTGAATACAACATAGTCACTTTTATATTAATAACTTGCATTCGTTTTTAAAGTTTTCAGAAAATCTTAATTAAACAAGATCACTCTAAATTGCAACAAACTAAATTTGTTATTTTTATCGGATTACTTTTCGCAAAAATACTGTCATATAGTTTAAAATATCTGATGTGGATTCTGCATGACTACCTTATACCGGATATTAAATTATACACATTCTTTGCTGCACTCCATTTAAACTTATTTCCTAGAATTTCATCAGAGATATATTTCTAATTCAATAAATTCAGTTCTGTCTTCATACAAGGTAGAAATACATAAAAACTCAATCTTCATTTAAAAATTGTAAAACATACAAAAACCTAAAATACCAAATACAGTTAAAAACAGTTTAAAAAACAATTATTACAATTATAATTAGAGTTTCTACGCAAAAACAAGAAATTCGGCCAGTGGGCAAGGAGACGAGATTTTTGGTGCATAAAATTGAAAGTTAACTTTTGGTCCCACTCGGCAAAAAGATGCTGAAGCGGGTGCCCCAACTGACTTAATTCACTATTTTACTAAGATTTTTCAAATGTGGCCTCGTTACGCTTAGGACCACTTAAACTTTTAAATTGTTGATAATTCTGTAACTATTGCATGTAGATTAACTAGAGGCATAAAATCCTTAACCAGAACATAAGAACAACATAATTCAACCTCTTTTAAAGCAAAAAATGAGTAATTTAACAAAACTTATGAAAAAAATCTGAGCTCATTGAGCCGGGTAACAGAGTGACAAATATATATGTATAAAGCGAACCGTTTGAAGCGGTCGATTGCAACGGAAAAGGGAGTTGCACAACTACATGTTATAGCTGTCTCATATACAAAATTTCAACGTTCTATGGCTATTGGTTTTTGAGTTACGCGAGATACATACATACAGACGTCACGAAAAAAATCTCTTCTGAATCCATTTTACAATCCGCTTTAGAAAACAAGTCCTTTATTCTGTCCGTATGTACAGATGTCATGCAAAAACATCGTTCAAATGCATTCGAGAGCGGTTAAAATGGATATTTTAGTTGAAATACAATATCCAAAATTTTTCTCGATTACAATACTTCCTTTACTTTGTACAAGGAGACATATCACTTCCTAAAACAGAAGAGATAAACAGTACGTACTTTAGCAAAACTAAGTAAGACCAGACAATTTATAAATACTGCGTAAATTGAAAATTCAAATCATAATGAAACATATAAAAACCACATGTTAAAAGTTCTTCTAAATCAGCTTCAGGTATTTATTTGTGAAATCTCTCCTGTATTATAATATTTCATGATCCGTTTCAAATACCGGTATCTAGCATAACTTCTTCAAATATTTATCAATTAAATCTAGATGTGTCTAACGCAGCGTGGGGCTAAATTTCAGGTTTTCAAATTGCAGTTTTTTTAATTGTAAATCTTTTAAATCAAACAAAAAATTTTTAATTAAAAAATAATTCCCTACGATACGACAGATGATGCAAATTTATTGCGGGTTAAAAGTAAAATTTTTCAGATTTTTAACTATAAAAGTTCAAATTCACCACGTAAACACGCTTTCAAATAATTTTATTGTATTAACATACTGAGCAGAACAACTGTAGCAAAGGCTGTGAAAAATTACTTGAAGTGAGAAAAACTACTTTGTCATCGAACTGCAATTTAGCATTATTAACTTGTTAGCTATGTGCTTTAGATTACTGCTATTTAATTCTATTTAAACACATACGCATTACACACAAATTATATTAAAAATACACAAAACAGTTAAAGTTTAGGTAAAGTGCACATGAACTTTAGGAAACATTGGTATAAGAATGTATAACACAATTCCTTGTGTATTTTGGTTAAAATGGTTATTATAATTATATCTGCATTCAGGTCATTTTTAACACAAATATTTATAAACAAAGTACTTGAAGATTGATAGTACAATTGTAAGAAATAAAGTTCAATATGTTTCACATTTAATTTAGACTAAGAATATATTACCTAGTAATCAGACATTTCAGTTTTTCCATGGAAGATTCTAGAGTTCCATGGAATTCCATAGAGAATCCATTAATGAAATATTTGCTATATTCAGACGCTAAGCTGGTAACCTTCTTCCAAAAATAATGGCAACAATTAGTACTCTAATGTACGAAACATTTCGTATTTTCTGATTATATTACCAAGCAACTATCTTTTAATTCTAAGCAAGTATTTTTTTTCAAGTGTGTGTATACCTTCAGTGAACAATAGTCTGGTGGCACATCAGATTGAGCAAATCCCCACGAGCTGCCATTGCTTTTCTAACTTTCTCTTCCTCCTCTTCCAGTTCACCTAACTGAATTAGCAATCGCATTTTATCCATATCCAGCTGAGCTCGATTTATTTCTTCCCAAGCTACATGCTTCAAACAGTTTTTTTTAAGGCGGCCACAAAATTTTCCTGAATGACTCTCAAAATCTGTTGTCCTGGGTAATGGATATCCACATGGTTCATCTTCAGATCGAGATTTATAATGCAATGGGCAAAGTACGCGGAGTTTTTTACAATAAACTTTACGCGACATCTTATGATTACAAAATATATTCCACTCCATGTCATTAAGCGGCGATGACGAACTAGTTAACAGAAGTCGTCTTTCTTGTCGCTTATAACAATTTTCCATGTGTTTCGTTGCTACTTTTGTCATTATTTCTGCGCCACACAGTTTGCAATAAATTGTAGAATTACATTCATCATCAGAATCTGTTGTTATTTCTATATTTTCTAAAGAAGTTTCAGATTTGCGAATGAGGTTAACAAATTCTGCGATTTTCTTTTCAACTGCTTCTAAATTATTTTCAATCAAGCGTTTTTTCTTGCGTATTTCGGTTAACTGCTTTCTATTCAATTCATCAGCAGCACATGGAATAATTTTCCATTGTTGAAGTCTTTGAGGAAGAATTTCTAGAATGCGGTTAGTAGCTAATTTCATACCGCAACTATCGCTGCAGTACTTGGAATTTTTTCTCGCTGAGTAAACACAGCCTGGACCATAACATTGCTTGGATTTAACCTCCGTTTCTGTCTTTTTCTGTTTTCGTTCTCCAGTCGCAGCTTTTCTTTTAACTGTGTTATTTCCTTTCTGGGACACTGATCTGATATTTTCACAAGCAGTCATCTTAGCTTTCCGATTTACAGCATTAGCATAAAAAATATCAAGATTTTCAATACCTTTTGAATTATGGTTGGGAATTAGCATGTCAGGCAATTGCCTGGATTTAATTTCTTTCGCATGTAGATCCTTCGCATCATCTATTTCCATCTGTAAAGACGGACTTGATATTTTTACATATCGTTTTTGATCAATTTCGGTTTTTCTTTCCGATATTTCAACATTCGAAGTATATTTTCTTCGTTTGTTCTTGATTTTTCTCTTCCGATTGCGTTTATTTGAGTATTTTTCAGATTTATTTGAGCTTTTATACGTAGTTTTCAATGCAGAGTTACGCGACTTGCATAAATCGCAATAAAAGAAATCAATTTGCTTTGCACATTCTTCTGTAATACCAAGGCAATCACCATGAAACCATTCATTACAGTTATCACAAGAGATCATAAATGCAGTGCCATCTGTTGAATGACAGATGCAGTACGTTTTTTCATTCATCATTTTCGTTTTCAGGAACTAAATTTCTTTCTTAAAAATAGTCCTTCTATATCTTTTACTGGCATTATGCAAAACTCGTAATGTTTTAGAAAACACAGTCTTTCAAAGCATCAACAGAATTGTTCTACGACGTTAAGAAGAAAAACTTATCTGCAGTGATGCCACTCCATTAAAAGTAATTGTTTTGCTTTGAAACACAAAACGAGTTTTTAATTTTTTTATGCTAAAATATTAATATTCTGTTATTTAATATAACAGAATTTCGTTTAATTCGAATTAATTTCGTTTTGGCATTTTGCGTCGATTCACAAATATTACAGCCTTGTATTATATTTAAAGAAATTAAATAATGAAGAATCTGCATAAATGTACGTTCGTTTAATTCGAACTAATTTCGTTTTGGCATTTTGCGTCGATTCACAAATATTACAGCCTTGTATTATATTTAAAGAAATTAAATAATGAAGAATCTGCATAAATGTACGTACGTTTCTCGCATTGTGATAAAACAAGGGTACCTAGATCCATCAGATTTTAAATAACGTAGTCTCCATTCGAATATGGGCATCTGGAAGCCCAAATTTGGAATTTGTTTTATTATCTATTTCATATTTTGTAAAGCATTTATTAGTTTCTGATTAACAAACTCCGCTTTCAAAGCCAGCAGTGGAGACACTGTATGGGGGGGGCCGGGGGTATTATCTCCTGCGTGCGAGGCTGTGTAACGGAAATTCTAAAGATATGCTCATTTTTAAGTTATTTTGCGATATTGCTGCTGAATTTAATTTTATGGTTTTAAGTGCGAAGGACGTGATATTTAATAAATAAAAATAATACGCAAAACGTTAAATAAACGCCCCTTTGGGCGTAATGTAAAATGTGAAAGCTTTGATATTTTGTTTGTTTGTTTATTTATTTATTCCATTTGGGGGATATTCTTATAGATACAGCACATAAAGCTTTTCCTAAAAAGGCGGTTTGCTGTAAAAGTTTCAAATTATAACTTTCAAGCTATTAACTACTAGACAATTTGTTTCAAAAGAATAATAGAAAATCAGTAGTTCTCCATAAGAAATACTGATGGCTAATTTTGCATGCTTTCATATTACTTTGCACTGCAGTTTATTTTCTAAATAAAAATGTGTTCCAGTTTTTTAAGTTTAATATTTCGTACTGTTTTTACATTAAAGTAAATTGTCGGATACCGATTTCAAAACTCTGCTATAAATCGATATTCCTAGAACTCAAAACTCAAATAATGTACAAAGTATTAAAACAACACTCTTTTTATTCTTTGTAGCATTAATAATTACAACGTTTATCTTTTTAAATATCTAACTACGAATATGAAAACAATTCTCATTAAATTCAAAACATTAGAATACTTTTTTCAGTTGCCAAACTCAGAATTACAAAGTTACAACATTTAGACACTTGAAGTAATACTGACAACAATACGCGTGCATAAATTTAACACTCAAAAAAAATTTTTTTTTTCTACATAATGCATCCATTCATTTAAACTGATGTGTTACGTATATGTTACTAAATGCTTTTTTGAATTAGTTTTATTGTTGAGATCGTGTAAAGGAAAGTTTTATTTGATTTCGAATAACAGATACATATGATTTGCACATACTGGCCCCAGGCACATAAGATATTTTATTAATGAACTAGCTATCATTATTTCCATGAGAATTATGTTTAATTGTAAAGAATTACGCAGTTTTTTTACATTCGATCTCTTGCAGTAACAACTATGAATTTCACTTTAATAATCTTCCTTTTATCAGAAACATCATTTTTAAGACAATTCATCTAATTAATTAAAACATTTTGTAATGCAAAAATTTCAATTGTCTGTTTCGGCGAAACGCGTAATGGAGTTAGCTTGGTTCGACGTTTACTAGAAATTTCTCTTGAAAAGCCAGGTTGGACTTCGAATTGAGCTAATTTACCATTTTCCGCTTTATATTTTTATATGTTTTTGTTTGTTTTATGTTTTAACTTTTTCCATCGATCGGTTTTTTATATGTTTTAACTTTTCACTTATCACATCGATAGGTATTTTACTGTATTTTTTACCATTACTAGTTGCCAATGATTAGTATTTTACTGTGTTTAATTTCCCGTGTAGCATAATTTTTCACTCTTCATTGACATTGTTTTTTTAAAAAATGTGTTGAACTTTTTCTTGGAGCCACAGCTCCTAGTAACTTTTTGGCGAGCTTTCTACAATTTCTCATTTCCTTAATTTTGCAGCATATTGCGCAAAAAATTTTATTTAGACCAAATTGGTCTTTCAGTATTGTACTACCTAGCTTGTTAAAATTTTATAAAAAGTACATCTTGTATGATATATATTGTAAATAGGCATGCATCATATGGGACTCATTTTATATCACCCTATTAATTAATTTATATGTATTTTTGCAATTTAGAAACTATACTTATAATTTAGAAATAATGAAAAAAACCTCATGCTGTGGGCAGTTTCCGTGTATAATCGTGTGTTTTAAGGCAGCCTTGAATTTTTTCCTTCTTTATTTTATTGTTATAAGAATAACGCAAAGCACACAAGGTCTCTCTGATATAACTTCGGAAAATCGCTATGATAAGGATGTCATGGAGGAGCATTTTCTAAGTTAAAATTGGGTTATACATGGTCCCACGTATATATACTGTTATACATGGGAAAATCAGGAAATTGGGCAAGCAATCAGGCCACCTGCCAGGTTTAGAGCCTGGGTCCAGTTACCAGTGTTTAGTGGTCTCCATTCAGCCACTGACAGGTCCAAAGAATTTTTCTTGACTACAAGATTTTATTGAAACCGGACAACACAAAGGAAAATTCAAATAAAAAAACTTCGAATTACAAACTTAACACCTCGAAGAACTTGAACCAAATGTTTTTTGTTATCTTTAATTATTTAGAAAATTGCAAAACATAATAATCAGAAGATAAAAAAAACAACCTGCAATCTGATTCTAGTACGCAGATTTCAGTTTAATATTTGGCTCATTAGATTAAGTAAAAGGCCCCAGAAATTAAAGATACAGAATAAAAAATCTTATATTTAAAATGAGGTATTCGAAATGGCAAACCAAACGGTAATTGCTAAATGTAGACAACGCCGATTAGAATGTAAGCAAAACCAACCAGAAGTCCGCCTATGGCAACGGCCATATCGAGTCGTGACGTCATACCTTGACGTTTGATGGGTTCATTTTCAATGCCTAGGACATACGCGGGAGGCTTACTCCACTTATTCTAACATCCTTGTTAAAAACTCAGCGATTTAAAGCTTTGTGTTGCCACTCTGCAAAACGTAAGTTAATTATGTTTCAAATTTAATCATAAAACCAAGGAGGTTAGAATAGTTCTTGCATAAAACTCGTCGATATAAAAGAAATATGTTGCCACTCAGCGAAACAAAATATATTTATCTTTCGAATTTAATCACATTACGAAAAAATAGTGGGCACCTACAGCTAAACAATTTGGAACACACATTAATAGTCTTCCACCCGAAAATATGCATCTCGAGAACCTAATTTTGAATTTCTAATTTGTTTTTTTTTATTTTATTTCATATTTTGCGCGAATTTAAGAAACTTTTGACCAAAACCTCAAAAATATGAAAGATTTATGTTGCCACTCAGCAAAGCGTACGAGAGTTGCGTTTCAAATTTAATCAGGAAACACGGAGATCATCATTCGTTAAGTGGTGTTCGACCCGAAGGCCTTTACCACTACATGTTTATCAATCCCCTAAAAACCAGTAAAAGTTCGTTTAATTCCATAAAAATGGAAAAGTCTTGTGCACTTGTAATAAAAGTGCAAAAGTCTTCAGTAGTGAAGAAGTTGATCAGGGGTGACGCCATATATCGGCCACAGATGAAGTCTTCGTTGGATAAGCAATAATAGCAACTAATAACTTTGCATATCTTTTCGCAATGGCATATCTTTTACACATTATCGTACAGCGATATAAAAGATATGCGTTACCACTCGGCAAAACGCAATTATGTCTTTCGAATTCGATCAATAAACTCAGCCATTTAAAAGGAACGTATCGCTACTGCCCGGATTAAATAGTTTTATCTTCCACGCGGCAGTATGTTTTTATTCATCAAAGCTCACGATACTTAAGCTTTCTTTCAAATTTATTCTGCTACTAATTAACAAACTAAGCAGTTTAAAAGCATTTAAAATAGATTACTATCAATTACCAGCTGAACCCGTTAAAATTACAGTATTAGGATTGATTAAACCATGATATATATATATATTCATTTTTAATAACTATTTTAGGTGGATGGCCGCGAAAGAGGCAAGTAATAATAATAATAATTTAAAAATAAAAAAATTATCTATTACCAAATGAAATAATTAAAAATTAAGTAACCAATATCATATGAAACTCACTTAAATGAATCGAAACGGATACAATAATTCAGTTAGCTGGCAATGTTTTAAAGGCTTGAGATAAATCAAATTAAATAACAGTAATTTATCCAAATTACCGAAGTTAGTAAAATTTAGTAAATCAAGGCAAATTAGTAAAATTACAAACACGGCATAAAAATGACTTCAGAATATACACTGGTGTGCAAAAATTAAGGACGAAGTCGAAAAATTAGCATATCAGCTGAACGAAGAGGCAGAGCGGACAGAAAGACCAATCAGGAGATTAAGTAAGGTGATGTACGGTAGCACATGCGCAGATATGCAGGTAGACGTAATGGGGGAGTGTCTGAGTAGTATTAAGCATGTTGTCGATGTAAGATCAGTATTTCTGGCAAAAAGATTGCACGCCGTATAGCAATTAAAATCACACCGAGTTGCTGCCTCAGCGAGAAATGGCGAATAATCAATCTGTTAGACGACATCTGGATGCTTTTACCCGAGGTCGAATCATTGGGAAATTGGAGGAAGGCCGCAGTGTGACAAGTGCGGCTGCAGAGTTCGGAATTGCTCACAGCATCGTTTCACGACTTTGGAGACAATTTCAAACTACAGGAACAGCTATCCGGGGGTTTAGTAGTGGTCGTCCACGAGGAACCACACCCGCAGATGACCGGTATATTGCCTTACAG